ATTATTGGTCCTCTCAGAAGATTCTGGGTTTTGGCTGCAAAGACTGATAATCGATTATTGCAAAGCTGATAATCAATTATTGCGTGCTTCAGAACTTTGGAAGTTCAAAGCTGCAGGGGCTGATAGTCGATTGTCACTAAGGTGATAATCGATTATCACCCAGCTAAAGTCTAACCAGCTGAAACCCGTTTTGAAAAACCGAGGTCCAAAAACGAAGTGTTTCCAAAAGTAAAAACCAGGTTTGGAAAATATTGTATATGGTATTAAATAGTGAAAACAAGACTTGTTTGGTAAAAACCAAGTCTCCAAGGTCGTATAATACGTACGTACGGTTTAGACCGTTTTTCACGTATTAGACCGATTGACCAAGATACAAAAGTGGTTTTTATAAAATAATTATTTGGAAACATTTTAAAAATGCTCAGAAGTAAAAACAGGGTTTAAAATATTGAAAACCACGGAGTTGGTTTGGGGGCCAAAAACCGAACGCCGAAAGCCGTTGAGAGCCGAACGCCGACTTAGGTGGTTTTGGTTCTGAGCAAGGACCAGGGATTTTAACAATAAAAAATCATCAAAAATGTTTGTTTTGATCCACAAAAAATATTTTATGGATTGTAAAAATTGTTTTGACTTTTTGAGAACCGAGACTTGAATATATTGTCGGTTTTGATCACAAAAGACCGACTCGACTAAGACTTCAATTCTTGATCTTGTCCTTGAGTCTTTTAGGTCTTGTTCCAAGCCATTCTTCACGCCTTGAGTTATTCAACGAAACTCTTTATATCCACGGCGGTTTGGCAATTATCAAAACCTGTCAGAAATGAACACGACTTTAGTTTATCGTGCAAAGTGTGTTCCAACAAAGAAGGTTGTGCTTGAGGCCCTTAACAAGAAGAACGTTCTCAACGGTTGTAGCATTGTCTCTCCCGACGGTGCCACTTCCAATTATCCTTCCTTTGTTGTTGTCACCAAAAACGACATTGCCACCTTTGAAATATTCTAAACTCCTAAATTTGGATGCGTCTCTGGTCATGTGCTTGGAGCATCCGCTATCGAGATACCAAGAGGTACTCGAAGCCTTCAAGCACACCTACAAAAAGATGTCAAGGAGACAGTTTAGGTACCCATGTATTGTTGGGTCCTTTTTGGTTAGCATATGTGCGATGTGTGTGTGTGTTTGTTGGAAATGCCTAAGTTTGGTGAAGCACACGGGTGCAATGTGACCTATCTTATTACAATAATGGCAAATAACATTTGGATTATTCATCCTATATGGTTGAGTGTAATGAGTTCTAGGTTTGCTAGGAGGTGCTCTTCTAGTTTGATTATTTGTCCTAGCATTTTTATTCCCCATAGCTTTAACAAATGTTGTTTTTCTAGGTGGGTTTTTCTTATATCCAAGTCCTTCACCATTACTATGTTTTTGCTTAAGTATTTTATCTAAGATGTTTGAAGCATTATTATACTTTCCCAATTCGCTTTCTAAATTAGCAACCTTAGCTTTTAGTGATGTACAACTAGAGCATGTAGAAGAAGTAGATGAAGGTTCTTGTGGCCTTTTTCCAAAAGAGATAATTTCTTGTTTAAGTTTATCATTTATATTTTTGAGTTCTTTTACATCTTTTTCAAAAATCAGGATTTTTGTTTAACTTCATTATTTTCTTTGGAAGCCTTTTTGAACATTCCTACAAGTTCTTCTACAATGCAAACAAAATCATTAAGAGTTAAAGGATCATTGGGAGAAGGTTCTTGATCACTTACCTCTTTTGATGTTTCACCATCCTCAATGGCCATGAGACATAGGTTGGCCACTTCCTCCGTTTCCGAGTCTTCAATCCCGGAGCCGTCGTTCTCCCAAGAAATATAGGCACGTTGCTTCTTTGGTTCCCTCTTGTCCTTCTCGTTCTTGAGCTTCGGACACATTGGTTTGATGTGTCCAATTTCACCACACCCATAGCACTTGGGTGGAGTGTTCTTCTTGGCTCCCTTCTTGAGCATCATCTTCTTGAATTTTCGGACGAATACTCCGAGGTCGGTGTCGTCGTTGTCATCATCTTCATCATCAACATTGTTGTGGGTTGATGTAGTTGCGGGTAGAGCAATAGACCTCTTGCTCCTCTCTTCAACCACCTTTGAGAGTTGGGTGGTTTCGTAGGTAATGATATTACCTCGAAGAGCATCATATGTCATTGTTTGGAAGTCACAACCTTCTTCAATTGTGTCCACCTTTGAACACCATTTTGGGGATAAGCTTCGTAGCACCTTTCTCACGAGCTCACGGTCGGTGTATGTCTTCCCGAGAAGATTGAGAGGGTTGATGATGTTAGAGAACCTCTCAAACATTTCCTCAATCTTCTCGTTTTCTTTCATAGAGAAGAGTTCATACTCGTGAGTGAGTTGGTCGATTTTGGCCTCCCGAACCTGCGCGGTTCCTTCGTAGGTGACCTCCAATTTTTCCCACATTTGTTTTGCGATTTCACATCTCGAGATTTTGCGATAGTTATTTGCATTAACCCCGCAATAAATCATTTTATTGCCTTTGCGTTGAGCTCCATCTTTTTGCAATCTTCGTTGGTGAACTCCTCTTTGGTTTTTGGGACGTTGACCTCACCGACTTTCTTCATCGGGACTCCGCAGTCATTCTTCACAATCAACCACAGCTTGTAGTCGTTGGATTGGATAAAGATTCTCATCCTCTCCTTCCAGTACGAGTAGTTTGTTCCATCAAACAAAGGTGGCCTCGTGGTTGATTGTCCCTCAATTACTCATGCGTTGAACATCCTTGATGCCATTTGATCTTTTAGTTCCTGAAAAAAATAGCGTATTCGAAGAACTTCCTTCTCTGATACCAATTGTTAGACAAATGTGCAACTCTAGAGGGGGGGTGAATAGAGTTGTTTTCAAGAATGTGCGTTTTTCACGCGTTTTTCACGTATGCAAAAGTCATTGTCATCCTTACAAGAATTCCTAGACTCAATAGAAATAAAAGTCTTCGGAGTCTTCACTTCACTTCAAAAATTTGCGTAGGGGAGAGCGTTGATTTTTATCACCGTAAATATCTGGATACGCCTCTTTGCATTTCTTGATACGAAAAATAAATTTTTTATCATCTTTGAATTTAATCATTCTGTTTGTCATTTATCAAAACAAAAAATATTCTAGAAAATAATAAAGGGGTTTGAACTCATGTTCAACATGTTACTCGGCCTCAGCTCTCCAATGTTGTGCACACTTTA